GCATTAAAAGAGCCGGCCGCGCTGTGCCTTTTGTTGCTGGAGACCTAGTCCCCATTGACAATTAAGGCCCAGGAGTCATTAATGTTGAAGTATCCTGGAAAGCCCTCAGCATTGTTCCTCCTGAATGAAAGGAAATCCAATGCAGGCTTGAGGTCTGCAACCCGCGGGTCACGACTTTGACAATGGAGAGCGGATGATTTGCTGCCACTCTGACTCTGTCCATGAGTAGAAGCAACACAGAAGGTATTCTCTCCACCTAATGCGATTCAAGTCTTTTTCAGACTGGCTTTGACCATTGAAAAAATGGGAAAAAAATGCACAAGAGAGGAATAATATCAGCAATGCAAATAACGTTTTATAAGTGCTTCACATGTTTCTTTCACATTCACTGTGAAGAAGATTATGTATTGGAAATAAATTCTTATTGTAAATAAATAATAATATATCAACAGAAGAAGTTGTATTCATTGTTAACTTTTTTTTGTTTATAAACTTTTCTCGGCACTGTAAATCTGACTTTTTCATACAGAGAAAACAATATGTGTTGAAGAAGCAGCCTCTAAAGCAGCAGCGGCAGAGACGGAGAGGGCACCAAACACAAAGTGAAGGCCAGGTCCATTTTCAAAGCACTCTGTCGCTATCAATAGTGACACCTTGAACAATTCTTTCAATGATAGTGAACGCTGCTGCGGCCGGGTGCAGGACGTCCCAAAGGGCAGTACTTCCCCTGGTCTTGGGTCACACCATAAAAAGAACAATCAGCCTGGCCCACACCGAGCTAATGTAATATGGCCTTTAATGCTACCGCTCCATCCACTCACAAAACCACACTGTGTGCCCCAGAGTCACACAAGACTACCTTTTATTTTTAACTTGGTCACTGAGGCTAAAAAAAGTTCTTGGATTTTGTGGGAAGCTTCTTACCGTCACTGCTGGGCCAGTAAAAAAATAAGTCTTTGGTGTGATCCATGTTCAGGAATTACATTTTCAGTACTGCCATTTGTGCGGTTTTCAAAAGCAGGTGACTGCACGGTAGCTGAGTGGATAACACTCATGCGTCACAGCAAGAAGGCCGAGGGTTTGGTCCTGTGCTGGGTCCTTTCTATGTGGAGTTTTTAAAGAATTTACATTTGTTCATTTTGTTTGAACACTACAGCGCTGTAAATACAATGGATTCTAGCTTTATGTTAATTTAAATTTGTTGTCCCACAGTTGCATTTTACAATGCAACATTTGTGGACAGTTGCATTTTACAATGCAACTGTCCACCCCTATTCACTTGTTGTGAATAGGGGTGGACGATATGGGCAAAAATAAATAATTCAATATTTTCTCCCCAGATAACGATATTGTCAACATATCTTTTAAAATCAATGCTTTTTACACAAAATGATCTGCAATGTTTTTCTTGCCAGGGCATCTATAGGTTGTGCTACATAATTACGAATTATCTTGTATCCATGCAGACCATAGGGGCGTTGTCTTTTCACATTAAGTTTTTCCAAAGTTAGTGTGCTAACTTTGTGGGCTTTTACCTGGGCTTATGCTTATGTTAAGGATTCATTACATTGGAATATACTGCGTCTCATGGGCAAATCAAATCATTTTAACTATGGGAAAAATTAATGGTACTACATTAAACATGACTGCTCTTTCCCTCTCTCTCCATTTCTCCATCTGTGAGTTCTTCTCTCTCACTCGTCGTCAAGGCTTCCCTTTTACCTTTGGCTTTGCGGTCACGTTTCATCTCTGTGCATGACTCATTCTGCTCAATAAGCTCCAAAGTAAGCAGATTTGTCCATCCTTTCCCCTCTCCCCTGCTCTGTCCCCCACTCTCTCCCGCCTCCATAAGAAGGCTATTGTGATTCATGGAGGAACCCCTTTTGAGCAAATATTCTCTGGGCATTTCATGTATAAACACGCCTGACTTTCTATCACCGGAGGGAAAAAATGAAAACGCATAGGGCTTTGTTGTAATGCACTGATTCAATACATAGCAACCAGCAAATGTTTGGCTGCCTTGGTCTGTGCCATTTGGTCAAGATAATGCCAAGTGTGATAAATAGATTAGAGACTAGATGGTGGCCTCAAACAAGTTCCTCCAAATACTTAAGGCAGCCTTGTCATCCTCGCTAATTTGTTAGGATTTGCCCGCCAAGACTCCAACTGACGATGAAAGGAGTCAGTCCCGTTAGCATTTAGACAGAAATAAACAGTCGGGCGATTAATACATAGAAGTTCAAATCCCGTCTCGCGAATGCCATTGTCAGGATTAAGGGTCAGGAAATGCAATCAAAAGTTGAATTGGGAGAAGCAACCGTGGTGACATGCGCAGCAAGAGATCACGCCAGAATAGAAAACATTAGCATTAGTGTCCACATATTTGCAAGACGTCTATATATACATGAAGTGTTGTGAGGAGCTGTTTTTTTTTTTTTTTTTGTACAAGAAATGGCTGAAGCTGGTGTTTATTTCCAAAACAAGTCTAACAGAGACTTTGGAATAACTTAAATAATTTGATTTTAGCTATTTATATTGAGTTTATGCTGTAAAGTACAACGCATGTGATGTAATTTAATTTGAATGCTGTGTTCAAGTAATTGTCTGTGTTATCGATATGGCTTACTTTGACAAAAAGAGCAAAATATTTTACGCTGAGATGCTATTGCTTCCTCTGGCACAGCCACAGTTTTTCCAATAATACCTTGTTCGACAATTTTTGTTTCTGAATCAGTGATTTTCTTATGAAGATTTTGTATTGCACAAGCATTTTGTTAGAAGGAAAAATATCAGTTGATTACTTAGTTAATCTCCGGCCTGAGCAGAGCTTGCAATCTTTTCAATAAGACCCCATTTTCACAGATCTTACTTAAAAGGGACAGAAAACTAAGATCAATTTTGAGATTTCAAATGTACCATATGGCTGTCAATGAGCATTGCTATACTGTATATGAAACATGATGCGTCATATTTGTTTATTCGTGTGTGTTTGTGTGTTTGTTGTAGAAGCATGTGTGTTTGTCTCAGTACGTGTGTTTGGTGAGGATCAACTTAGGTTTGTTATACACTGGATAGGAAGAGGACTAAAAGGGCGGCACGGTGGCTGAGTGGATAGCACGCTCGCTTCAGCAAGAATTTTCTGGGTTCGAATCCCAGTCGGAACAGGGTCTTTCTGAGTGGAGTTTGCATGTTCTCTCAGTGTCTGCGTGGGTTTCCTCCGGGTGCTCCGGTTTCGCCTACCACTAAAAACATGTACTGTACATGTCTGGCATGCGCTCCTGTACTGGCCCTGCTCCCACCTCTGTGTGGAGTGAGTGGACAAATGGCCAAAAATTACAATTTTAAACCGCTTTGTGACTCTGGTCTGTGAAAGGCGGTATATAAATAAAGATTACTTACTATAAGCAAAAAGTAAAAAAAAAGATTGGGCAGGTTAAAGCCAATGGGGGAAATATAAGTAGTATTGTGGTCATGATGATTATTTAACATTTTGAGAGATAATTAAATCAGGGGGCATTGAATCTGCCTGTACTGTGCACTCACTCTGCACATGCCTTTCTTTTCATGGAGGAGCTGGAGAATTCCCACAACAAGGAAAGGACACATCAACTTCATTTGTAGAGATTTTGAAGCTGATGGCAAAGAACACCATCAAAAATATATCCTAATGTTCCCTTGCACGTTCGGCCGTATACTCCTCAGCTTTCTCCTTCCATCTTCCCTTTAAGGCTCAGATCCTAAATTACACGGAACACTCATTAGGATTGTTGACAATACGATATAACACCAAACTGGCAGCACTCGGCAAAAAGTGCCTCACTAAGCAATGCAAACAACAACTTCAATTATGTTTTTTCTCCTTTCCCTCTGCTGTCACACGGCCATTTATTGCCTCAGATGATGTACTGTATGCAGCAGTGGGACATACATATGGAACGGCTTGAGTACTTTAGATTAAAATTGATTTTCGTCCCCTTGGGAAGTGGAAAAAGTCAAAAATTGTTACATGCACATTTATGAAAGAGATTTAGTCCGTTGACATTGAAAGCTATTTGATAAGTAATTAAATAGCCTCTGTAGCGGGACAAGGTGACGGCCTACTCTTTGTCCCTCCCCCTGTGTACGGTGGCTCTATAATGAAGATATACAGGCCCACTTTGGTCTTTGCATGTACTTAAGATCAAATTTTAAAAGACATATTGTGCAAAATAGTTGCAAAACATTCTTCCCTGATCAAAAAACTATCCTTGATTTGTTTTTATTGCTAAAATCAGAAAGTTGTGGCACAAACACATCCCCCCGCCTCTTTTGAAAAAATCTAAAACTTGGAACATTATGGTAATTCTTTAGACATGAGCATATTTCCCTCCCCTTACAATTGTCTCCGATCAAATGACATTCTTTACAGCTGTGGTCATTCATTTAACGCACATGTTGATGGAATTTCCAGTTTCTAACACTAGAAAGAGGTATTTCCCCACTCAAGAAATGTTGTTCATCTATTGTTCATGGTCCATATACAGTATTTCACATTAGACATTCTATAATATGACAATCAAAGTAAATATTCTCAAGATTACTGTTTCATAGGTACATCATCCCACAGTAAGATTCTTGTTTGAGCAACGTATTGTGAACAAGTCAGACTGCAGGGTGAGGGCTGGTGGTCTTTCACTATAAAAGCAGATCTAGAGATGTGAGGACAGATGAGGAAAGATGAGGTCAAATATACATTCATACAACAAGTAAAAGAAAAGACAGTAGACATGGATTTCATGACAAGGTTAGGTACTCTATGAACACAAGAAATACATACATTGCTCAACTTGATCATTTGTGCAATAAGCCAAGACTTTCAGACAGCGACTGTGACAGAAATGCGCTAAATATATGCAAGATGTCAATTAACAAAGAATGCAGTCCTATAAGCCGCAGTGGGGGTGTGGCTGGAGGAACACTCAGAGAGACGTTACCCTTCATCTGGCAGGGTGCTGTGATTAATGAGCTGTCCCGGGCGCGAGCGTTGGGCGGCCGAGAGGGCTCACATCTGGGTGTCACTCAGGTCTGATGCCTGTCCCCGTCCGGCTGCCCCTACCCCTGGGGTGCTGCAGATGTTCAGGGTGTTGGGGACACTGCAGGGGCCGAATCTAACCCAAGGTGTCATGGAGACTGATCCAAATAACAACACTATTCTTGAATGAGCAAGGCATTTAGTTTAGACCTCAAACATAGAGATTTAAAAATACAGAAACATTTCACGAATGGTCTAAGTTTTGGTTCTCAAACATTTACTAGTATCACTTGGCGTTTCATGTTTCATGTCAAAATGTCGAAATAACAGAATCTGATACATCTGCCCAGTGATACATCTGAATATTTCTGGTTATTTGTAAACCATTTTTATTTCAAAACACAGGGAAAAAAAATCTAACAAAGCTTTTGAACACTAACATAAATGTTATTTTGCACATATGAAATCATTCTTATAAAGTGCCTAAAGTTTACTGTAGAATAACGGTAAAGAGCTGGCAGCAGGTTTCACACAACATTTCTAAAAGTAGATATTTTTGTGACGAATGGGAATTATTTTCACAAAAAGAGACGGCAATCTCAATGTTATTTTTCCCCAAGTAACCATGGCAGTGTATGCTGGTTACATCACAGTAATTGACAGGTTTGGACCAGCATCAACATGACTTTTACATCTTTTTTTTATAACAACGTATTGATGACTATCATTGAAATTGTTCTTGCAATCCTTTGTAATTTGTTTTCCCAGAAAACAAGAATATAACAAAGACTTACATGCGGTAAACATCCACCAGATTTCAATGTTTTGTCTCCTTCAAGCTGAATTGTATTTTTCATCTTCTGTTACTTACAAAAGGGCTGAAATTTCATCTGCTCATCTTCAGTCCGACTTCGCGACGTTGGGCCTGGCTTTCTATGGGACCCTATGGATATCAAGTATCAAGGGGCTCTGATAAAAGTTCAGCAAGCCCAGCCAATACATTGTCCCTGTCCCCGAAGGGAGGATAATTGATCAAACCTTGTCCAGAGTTACCTTTTGTGCCTGTAGTAGCTTTCTCACACTGCAGCCATGAGCTTCCAAGTCGCTGCAGTATATGTGATGCCATTTTTATAACCTCACTTTCCCTCACAAATAAAGAAGGGAAAGAAGTCATAATGGAATTCAGCCAAGGCACTGGATTATAAATGAGGTCTGCGTCGAGCTTCATAACGTTATTTAGATTCCTGTGTACAGAGACCCGTGTTCCAACTCCCATCAGCACCGCGACAGAATCAAATGTGAATATAAGCTGATATAGGGAAATTGGTTTGTAATGTGCTGATGCTTCGGAGACCTGGTGCACAGGCTAAAAAGGAAAAAAACTGCATTTCTTTGCCACACTCCAAGTGATGTTTTAATTACTTGAAACGGAGTGATAACAAGAGCCCCCCCTTCATCTGGGTGACTCAAATTAAACCAACTAAATTAAACCAATGTGTAGTATTGCAGTGTGATCAAGGATGAATGTGTTTTTTGTAATCAACAATCAAATTGGTATAAAATAATTCAAATTTTGACCAAGGGATGTTATTTTGTTTTTGTTTTTGTCTTAACCCCATCATTTATGCACTGACTGAATTGGGCAGTCATTTTAACTTGAAAAAAAGTGCGTAAAGGGGGCAAAGACTATTTAAAAGTTAGGGGAAACAAACTGAGCATAACATGAAGTATTCTTTAATCTAATTTTGTGACCCCCGCCCTGAATAAATCATGATCTGTGTTTTGCATTGCTCCTGAAAGTATGTAATTATATGTATTTGTGGCATGACAACATATCTTGCTAACAAATACCTATAGTTTAAAAGTGATCCAAAGAAGCTACAGCAGACACTGGGTCGGTTGTAAATATATCGTGAACAGAAAGCTCCAACTTTCTTTCCCTCCTGGCAGGATTTATATAATTAGCGAGGCATTTGTGTGGTATATGATAGTTTCAGCTAAAATTTTCACCCATATAGCAGAGGAGACGTGCGCTGGGCATGTTGGCACCCAAAAAAAAGCCGGTAAAGGGGTCAAAAGGGGTCCTGTTTAGACACTTTCCAGCGTTGTGTGTCTGATGCATAGTTTTTAATGAGCGGCAGTTCTGAGGTCTGATTTAGAACTGCCATGACAGCCAGGCACCAACACAAAGCAATCCCCCCCATTTCAGGCGTTCCAGCATCAGTCGTTGTCATGATGCACATAACGTTCCAACTAAAATAGCATGGGGAAAACTGCAAACAAAGTCAGTCCCTCGCATATCTCTTTTTTTCCCCCTGTTTTTTTTGGGCATGTCAGCTTTCTGTCAATGATGAGTCTTGCACTTTACAAGCTTTGCAAATGTAAATACAAGCGTTGCCAGCCAGCTTTGAGAATAACAAGGCTACCAATGCAATCTGCTGTCAGTGTTTTAAATTAGTAGAATTAGCAGCGCACACGACTGGAAAAACAGATTCAAGGCAATCCCAAAATGATCACACGGCGGAATGAGACACTGTAAAGATAAATCGCGCCATGGATCTCAGGGGTAATACACATTGCAAATGGACAGCCCACTTTGATTCTCGAATTCCCCGGGAAGCGCAGTCATAATGTTGTACTATGGGAGGGGAGTGTGACTAGCTTTTTGATGCCTCTCCTCTTTGAAATGTCTGTTCACATGTGCATCGTCTCGCCGCGTTGTGGAGCTGACATTAAAGTTGGAGTAAGCAATTCTCTGGGAACGAAAATTTTATTTAACGGGAAAACCACAACAGTTCCAGTTCCCAAGTGTGGTATGTAAATCGATCCGTGTAGACGCAACAATGAAACAAGGGAGTCATAATTTAGCTCTCAGCAGATAAATATTAATGAATGCAAACTCAAGCCAATAGGCAGAAGTGAAGGAATTCTTGGCTATGTTTACCTAAAACAATACTAGTTGTGTAGTTGTGTTCATTCTGTCCCTTCAAAATGATCTTGAAAATATATTACTTTCTAAAACTTATTGCTGATGTAATAAGTAAGGAGATCCAAGATGTCTGTCCATTCAAGTCTATGGCATTTGACACTGGCAGATGCTCTAGCCCCAATTTTTTAATACCACTGTCATGGTGTGGATTTTTGTTTTTGTACTTTGGTTTTATTTTGACATAAGTTTGGTTTTAGTTGTACTTCCTGTCTTGTTCCCCTGTGTTGATTGTCTGCCCCGCCCTGATGTGTTTCACCTGTGTCTGTGTCTATATGTACCCAGTGCCCCTTTCCTCTTGCTGCTGGTTCATTGTATTGTCTGTCCTTGTCAGTCTGTGTTCCTGGTTCCTGGGTTTTGTTTGGATTTTGGTTTCATCTTGGACTTTTATTTGATTTTTTTTTGTTTTTTGCATTCCTGCATTTTGAGTCCTCCATCACTTCACCTCATGACAACCACATACGCAAGAAGAGCGTGTGAAATTTGGTGGACTTTTGACTGTGCCTGGGCCCTGTTCGACAAAAAAGGTAAGAGCGGACACCTGTTTATTCAAAGTCTGCTAATTGAGTGAACCAAATTATGGTCTGTTTTGAGGTCCGCCAAATACCATATCTATATAGATCGGATTAGGTAAGATTCAGGTCCGCCACCTCGATAAAATGGCAGTTTAATTGATCATCAGGTCCGCCACCTCGATAAAATGGCAGTTTAATTGATCATCAGGTCCGCCACCTCGATAAAAGGGCAGTTTAATTGATCATCAGGTCCGCCACCTCGATAAAAGGGCAGTTTAATTGATCATCAGGTCCGCCACCTCGATAAAAGGGCAGTTTAATTGATCATCAGGTCCGCCACCTCGATAAAAGGGCAGTTTAATTGATCATCAGGTCCGCCACCTCGATAAAATGGCAGTTTAAATGATCAAAACAGGTTGCTACCTCGATAAAATAGCAGTTACGGCCGGAGTAGTTAGTGAAACCATGGTATAAAAAATAAATAAACATAAAAAGAGAGTAAAAGCAAGTGCAGGGACCTTTGTTGCAAAAGTCTTGAAATTGGCCAATTTCAGGTTTAATGAGTGACAAAAGTAGAAGCAATATCATCTGCTAAATATCAGTAATCACAGTTTAAAACTGCATATAGAAAAAGGGAGTTTTTTGGATTTCGTGCCTGGACAGAGCTCACCAGAAGATGCAGAGTTTTATTTCCAGCTAAACTTTTGTATATTGCATTTCAGATAGTATTCAACATTTTTAAGAAAAGCCCTTTGAAGCTAAACAAGTTTTCAAATCTTGCTGTTACGTATTTTTTTTTTTTTTTTTTTGCCCTCTGGAAGTGTGTGTGACTGCGCGCCGCACAGTGACTGCGCGCTCCCACACGGCAACCTGTTTCGGGTCTAAAATTAGACACTGCATGCAGATGTGTAGTTTGTCTTCTCTCTCATCTTCTCCCGTTAAATTCGTGTAAATTAGAGTTTAAATGTTGGGTTTTAGAAAGCTTTAAACACAAGTACTCAACAGATTTGGCTTGTTCATTTTTATTTTTATCTTATGTTTATTTTTCATAGTTGTAGAACTAAGAACGCTTCACCATATTCTTTGAATTTCTCACTCTAATCTTGCTTTTACTTTTGCATTGCTGTTATATCGTTTAAATTGGTTGTAAGAGTTTGCATGATTCCTATGTCCTCCCATTACAAAAAAAAAAAAAACAAAGTTGAAATAATTAAAGTATCCTTGTTAAAAGTGCATGAATATTGACTTTTTAGTCTGAAAGAATATTGGTAAATAACAGCAATGCATTAAATCTTTAAATATTTCCCCCTTTCTCTGTGCTTGGTTGTGGGAATTCTTGCATGCGTTTTATCAAAGTCCAGCCGTGAGCGCGTGGGAGTTGCGGGAACGGCTCCAAAACACCTGCCGCTTCTCAAAATACAATAATCTGTTTCCATTCGTTTGTGTGCATCTAAAAAACGTGTTCACTTACATATTCCATTTTATTTTTATTATTAATTTTATTTTTCTTGTTTTTAACTCAAAATTTTAGAATTTATTTTTTGTAATCTGGCAATTCTTGAAATATACACTTTGCATTTGACTACATTTTTGGCTCACTCTATCAAAAATATATTTTTGTGCGCGATAATTTGAATTGTTTAAGAAATAGAATATCAAGTTATTTCTGCTATTATTCTGTGCCCGAACTGTTGGTATTTCTCTGTCGGCTGTTTCTCTTTCTGCACTTCAGCTATTTTTATTATATGTAGATACAAGGCTTTACAAATTATTTTTCTGCATTCATTTATGGTTTTTAGAATTCAAAGCATTGAGTTAGAAAAGTAAATGCTACAGTTTATTTCAAAGTACTCTGGCATCTTCTGGTTAGATTTGTTTTGAGAAAGTACGTTCCAGGCCAAAATTGCATTGCCGTACGGCATCAGAGTTTTATTTTTATTCTTTCATTTTTGATTTGTTTTCATTTTATGTTTAAACACAGTTGAACAATAATTGCTAATCTAAATGTTGAAGTGGGTAGAATATAGAACTTAAATTGCCTTTTGACTTTAATCCCCAAAACTGTTGAATCTTTAGTCATTTTGTTTTGTTTTGGCTTCCATAATAAAACAGCTCTTTTCCGCGGGTGCATTTTTTTTTTTTTTTTTACACAAAGCACATTTGTATTTTCCACATTTTCAAAGATCAGTGTAGAAAAAAAAAAATAATAATTGAATAAAAAGAAGTGTATTTTCTACTTTGACACTTAATAACCTTTATTTTGCATAAATTCCAGTTTCATTACTGTCACATTCAAATAAATAAATGCAAATACAAGGAGCATTTATTAGCATTTGGTTTATCAAATAACGGGAATAAGGGTTTTGTTTTGTTTTAAAAGCGAATAATATCAGTGCCAGTCTTGCGCGTCGGTCAGTTTGTTTGCGTTTTGTGTTGACCATACCCATACAAAATCCAGTCTAGCTGGGCTCTATTCTATTTTATTTTATTTTATATAGTTGTTTAAATCACTTTTCATTTTTTGCTTTTTACAAATAATACACATTTTTGGTTTTTGTCTGTTTGATTTTCCAGTCACAATTTGAGTCAACATTTCCCGTTCAATTAAGTTTTGGTCCCCAAAAACAGTGTACTTGGAAACCATATTTTATTTTATTTACATTGTATTTTTATTTTTATTTTTTATTTTATTTTTGTTCTGAATTTTGGATTTTTAATTTTATTTTTTAATTTTAATTTGTTTTGTTTATTATTATTTATTTTATTTTTATTTTTTCTCCACCTTTTGCCTTGGTGTTGAGTTTATTTTGGCATTTTTTTTTTTTTATTTTCACTCTTTATTTTATTTTATTTTACGTTATTTTATTTTGATTTTTGCAAAAAACAATGTCTTTCATGAAGATGGACACATTTCTGAGGGAGGTAGAACATTACATACACATCAAGGAAGAGCCATTAAAGGAAGAACAAAGAGAGATTTTACTGATGAAGAAGCTGTTCAAAAAGTATGCAGCGAAGAAACTAATTTCTCGTGGCGAAGATGCCCTGGCTCCGACCAAAAAGCAATGGGAAAACATTTCACAATATCACCAAGGCAAAGTATTGCATCATCGCACCCATCCAGTACTCACCAGAAGAGGCTACGTGACTGATGAAGCAAAGATCAGGAAGCATGAGGAGCTGAAGAACTTCGCATTGGAGCTGTATGACATTGCGAAGAAGATTGCCGAAAAATGTGAAGAACGAAAAATGACACGTATCCTTGTCCTGAAGGAGGGCACTCAAGAGGATCAACCATATAAGCAGAGAAAGAAGTCGGTGACGCTGAAAACTCAGGAGGCACATTCTACAGACCCAGGACGCCTCAGGTCTGGTACCGTGTACAAGGACCTCCATGATGATACGGAGGAGGAGTGTGATGTTGAAGCTACTCAGAGAAGAAGAATTAAAGGAAAAATGCTCATGAGGGAGACCCAGACGCCTCTTCCACGGATAAATGATGAACTTCTGTACCCGGCTTCCGAGCCTGAAGACATGGAAACATATCACAAGGAGAAGCACAGCTACAAGCAACTGAGCAGGTCACTAAAGGACTTGAGTACCCAGTATTCAACGTCAACTCCATGTTCCCCCCCTCGTTTCAAGAAATCTGCAAGACCAGAATACACACAAGTGGAACTCCCAAAAGCCACAGCCCAAGAAGATTTCCCAGAACCAGTTGAACACACAGTGTTGGGTGGCACCCTCTCTATGGTTCCATCCAGAGGCGATCGTGAAGATATGCAAGAACTAGTGAAACAAGTCAAGACACTGACAGCACTGGTCAGTCAACAAGCACAAAGTGTTCACAACCAAACCTCTGAAGAAGATGAACATGAAGAAGTGGGGATTCCTCAACTGCGTAAAAAAGAAGAAGAAATATGGAGGAAGTCAAAGACCAAGACAATGCAAAACATGAACAAAGAAAAAGAAGAACTCATTTGTTTAATGGACAAAGAACCAAAGCACACCCAAACCAGTCGTGAAATGCATATAAGAAGAGGCATAGAGGACCGACTGAGGACAGGCCACAACCCCTTCCGTCCAGAGACAAGAGACCACTATGTTGCAGGGGAGTTTACCGGCCTGGTCGAAGACCAACAGCATGAGGGAGCCTTCGTGAGTGGGCATGTCAACCCATTTTTAGACCCAAATCACTCACTGCTAGAAGAAGATGAAGCGGGAAGAGCAACAACCTCTCTCTTTCCACTAAGAGAGGCTGCGGGTCGCCAGCAAGTGTATCAGCCATTTGCATTGAAAGACATTGAAGGACTAATGCTGAAATTGCCAAAGCTGACAAAAGGAGCACCTGCATTCATGAGGGCACTGACGACGCACACAGCTGGTGAAATATTGTGCTGGGGAGACGTCTCTTCTATAATCACCAGAAATACTGATGAAGCCACTACCAAGAAAGTACGGGCGGAGCTAACAAAACGCATTGGACCATTCAACCATACCCTGTCCTTTACCACCATGAAAGGACCACTGCTGTCAATTCTGAGAGAAATGTTTCAAACATGCGTTCCAGAAGAATTACTTTCGCTGAAGATGAAAGAAGATGAAGAGTACTTTGAGTACAAGCGCAGAGCCAAGGCCTTATTCTATGATGCAACTGGGGAAGCATTGCAACCAGGAACAACAAGTACATTCATCCTGTTCAACACAATGGTCAAAGGAATGCCAAAATCAGTACAACAAAGTCTTTCTAATGTTGTTGGACTGTACACACTGACCGAAGAAGACTTTGATAAAAACTGCAACCACTATGTGACCCTCTATCGAAATGAAAGAGAGAATAATAAAGAAGAAACACAAAAAGTGGAGGTGTCTAACATCAAGCTACAAAATAAGAAACTTAAAGAAGAGGTGGAAGCACAAAAGAACAAAAACAAGGCCGCAAATGTGATGAAAGTTGGAGTGGACGGATCACAGGTCAATGTTGAGGACAATGACCAGAATCAAAAGGGAAAAGAGCAAGCTGAACAGATGGTGATGGCTCAGAGAGGAGGCAATGTAAACTTCAGAGGAAGAGGGAGAGGATTTCAAAGAAGAAGAGGCAATCGTCGAGTGCCTTCAAACCAATGCATAATATGCCACCAGTATGGACACTGGGCAAACATGTGCCCCAACAGGTGGCATAATGGCCCACCACGGAACCAATTTTTTGGGCAGCAACAAAACCAATCGCGATTTCCCGGATCCTACAACGGACAGCAGCAGATGTGGACGCCCAATGACATGCCACAGCCACAGCCACCACCCCAGCCTGAACAAAATATGAGTATGCGTGGAGACTCGTACACGCAGTACCAGGATGGGCCTGGAGGCTCTTATTGACGGGGCCAACAGCAAGAGAGCCACTCACTCCACAACTGGCGGAGTGAGCCAATGGTGGTCCTCGAGGTGAATGGACGAGAGATCAAGTTCATGGTCGACTCTGGTGCAACTGTGTCATGCATCACACACAAGTTTCCACTGTCCTCTGAATCAATGTCCATCTCTGGCTGTGTGGGGAAACCTGAAAGCAAACCATTTACTGTTCCATTGGAAGTAAAATCACACCATGAAACTGTTCATCACTCTTTTTTGTATCTACCAAACTGTGGCATCTCTCTGTGTGGCCGTGAACTGATGTGCAAGTTGTCCTTCTCCCTATTCTTCTGCCCTGAAGGATACAAACTCATGAACAAGCCTGAAACATTGCAACTAATACGGTCTTGGGAGAAAAACAAGCATGCACAGATATTGTATCTCTCACCAGATGTCGCAGAAGATCTGAAGACACCTATCGATATCTACTGGCTTCAAGTACTGACGGACCCAGAGCATGGTAATACAGCCTCAACACTCTGGCAACGATACAAGCTATGGGCAAAATCCAATTTCCCCTTGAGAGAACCGTTTGACCCACTGCATGCCACGCTGTACTGTACCACTCAAGAAGATGAGAGTTATGAAGAATTGTGGGACAATGTGCAAGGGCAAACATTCCATGTAACATACCCATACATCTACTGTGGTCCCAAAGGCATGGCCCTGTCTGTGACTCTTCCAGATGAAGTGAAGCCCTATTATGTCGAAACAACCGACATGGACCCACATGTGACGTTGGCCGTTTCCAAGTACCATACTGCAAAGTCCCTTGGATCAATGGTGAAGTTGGCAAACACTTTGATATATGCACCAACCGACAACCCTGGAGTGTCCTACAATGGACAACATGGCATTTTCAGGATTACACTGCCAGACGGGTCAACGGACATAACCAGAGCTTTGAAGGAATCGCGTCACAGAACTTTTGAAAATCACCCAGACGCTCAACGATACTTGGATACAGTCCCAGCTAACATATGGATGACACATGCCAATGATGTGGGATGCACATCGCATGTTGTGAAAGTCAAACTGACAACTGACACTCCAGTATACAGAGCACAATACCCCTTGAAACAAGAACAAGTGCAAGGGATCGCACAAACCATTGAAGGACTGTTGAAAGCAGGTGTTATAAGAGGAACTACATCAGAGTATAACACCCCACTATTTCCAGTGAAGAAGTCAGATTTGAAGAACTGGCGCATGGTCCAAGACTTCAGACCCCTAAATGAAGTAACAGCTGATGAATCATACCCTGTTCCGGACCCATACATCGCACTGAACAACCTTTCTCCGAACGACAAGTACTTCACAGTAATTGATCTGGCCAACGCCTTCTTCACAATCAAACTGCATCCAGAATCTCAGAAGTACTTTGCCTTCACGGTGAAAGGGAGACAATACACTTACTGTCGGATGCCCCAAGGATGGAAACTGTCCCCCGGGTACTTCAACCATTTCCTACGTCTGGATCTTGCTGAGTTTAACCTTCCTGAGAAGTGCACTCTCATACAATATGTGGATGATCTGGCTATTTCAGGACCAGATGCAAGGTCCGTTTTACAAGCATCCACTGATCTGCTCACACACCTGGCAAGAAAAGGCTATAAAGTGAAGCGGGAAAAAATCCAAATGTGCCGAAGATCTGTGTACTTCTTGGGAAGAGAGGTTTCTGCAGTTGGACAGGGAGTCTCAGACTCCAACAAAGATGCAATTCTGAAGACACCAAAACCAAAAACGGTGCGACAAATGCTGAGTTTTCTCGGACTTTGCAACTACAGTCGAGAATATGTACCCAACTATACCGCAATGACTGCACCTCTAAGAGAACTGATCAAACCCCATGGCATGAACCAACCAACTGCAAGTTTAACTTGGACCACGGAAGCAGAAAACTCCTTTACAAGAACAAAGCAAGCCGTCTGTAACGCCTGTGCACTGTATGTGTCAGACTACACACTGCCGTTTCATCTTGATGTGGCTGAATCACAATTCTATGTCTATGGAATATTGTATCAGAAGAAAAAAGGAGAAAGAAGAGTTCTGAAACACTATTCTTGCAAACTTGATCCACACGACCAAGCCCAACCTGGATGTGCAAGATATCTGGCAGCATTGACCAAAACAATCATGAAGACAGCACATCTGGTCCAAAACCACCCTCTTGTGGTACACACAAACCATGGGATCCAAGCATACTTGAACTCAAAACTGTTCATCACCACAGCCCAAAGAACTGCCAACATCACTCAGACGCTTCGTCAACCTCACATCACCTATGCCAGTGGAAACATCAACATGGCCATGCATATGATCAATGACTCTGAAAGCAACAGCACGGACCATATCTGTGAAGAACTGGCGAAGACTGAACTATATGTAAGAGCTGATCTTCAATTTGAGCCAATTCCAAATGCTGAAATGACACTCTTCTGCGATGGCTGCTCATACAGAGCGCAAACTGGAGAAACCATCTCATCATACGCTGTCGTCTCACAAAAGGAAAATGGAGCGCACAGAGTATTGGAAGCAAGACAAGTGGAGCAAGGATCTGCTCAAGTGGCTGAACTTACAGGTCTGCTGCGAGCACTACAACTCGCCAGTGGACGGACTGCGAACATCTATACCGACTCGGCATATGCTTACAGGACATTGACAATCTCAATTCCTGGATGGATAAGAAATGGCTTCAAACTGATAAACGGACTGCCGGTAAAACATGAAGTTCTTGTGAGACATCTGATTGATGCAGTGAACCTACCAAGCAAACTGGCCATCATGAAATGCAGAGCACATACACAAGGAGAAGACATGATCTCCAAAGGAAACCAAGCTGCAGACCAAGCTGCAAAAAAGGCTGCCAACTACATGAAAAGAACAATGATCGTACAAGACAAAGAAAAACCTAAAGAAGTTCAAGAAGAAGAGGAAACTCAAAAAGCTCAAGACAAAGAAAAACCCCAAAAAGTTCAAGAAGAAGAGGAAACGCAAAACGCTCAAGAAGACAAAGAACAGACCAAAGAATCAAAGAAGAAAAAGAAGAAGACAAAAAATCAAGAGTTGAACACACAATCACATTTAATCGATCTCCAATATGTGAAAGAACTTCAAAATGCAGCTGGGGCATATGAACAACATCAATGGAAACTAAAAGGAGCAACAAAAGGAGAAGAAGGCCTCTGGAGAAACCACGAAGGTCGTATTGCTGCACCCGCCGCACTTGTACAAATGTTGTTTGAAGAATACCACAGCCCGCTGCACAGAAGCGTCAACTCTATGATTCATCTCATGGAACCATGGTGGCATCCAAATATGAAAGAAATGCTTCAATATCGAATCAACAATTGCCACACTTGCCAAACCATGAATCCCAAGAAGACTTGCAAACCCCCACCTGGCACTTTCATCATGCCCAATTCGCCCTTTGAAAAAATTGTCATGGATTTCACAGACATGGGTCCTGACAGGCGTGTTAGAGGTTTTCGATATCTTTTAGTTATCGTTTGCGAATATACTAAGTGGGTAGAAGCCTTTCCGTGTCGAACCGAAACCGCGGCAGAAGTTGTAAAACATCTAATGCGTGATGTAATCTGTAGATTCGGCTGCCCTTATCAGATCAGATCTGATAATGGCAGACATTTTACAGCTAAGATTGTGTGTGACGTGTTGAAAACTCTCGGGATTTCACAAAAATTTGGTTGTGTTTACCATCCAAAATCTCAGGGTCAAGTTGAACGCATGAATGCAACCATCAAACGTAAGCTAGCTAAGGTTTGGCAGACTTCAAAACTTGACTGGGTCACTGCTCTTCCTCTTGTGCTGATGGACATCAGGAATAGCGTGAACAGGTCAACAAGTTACTCTCCACACATGTTATTGACTGGGAGAGAAATGCACAGGCCAATTGGTCCACTCAATGCTGAAGCCCCCTTTGTCGAATGGGACTGGATCCACCAGCAATATTTGTCTGAGCTCAGGACAATTGTTTCTCAGTTGTCCGAGTGCAGACGACAAACTAACCAATTGAGACAGACAGATGACATTGACCCCATTGTTAAACCTGGTGATTGGATATTCATCAAAGTTCAGAATAGATCCAAATGGACGCAGCCATACCAGACAGGACCATATAAAGTGACTAATTGCACAGGGAGGTCTGTTCAGGTCGATCGAGCCGGTGTGAAGTACTGGTACCATCTTGAACACTGCATTCGCAGCCCGAGTGACCAGACGGAACGCACCCTGGCAGAGGTCCAAGATGACGTCGCTCGAAATACAACCTCAACTGATGACCAATCAACCGAGACCCCGGACGCACTCTCAGGGGACCCTGGAGAGTTGGAAAAACGGGGGAAGTAATGTTTTTGTGATTAAAACCCCACCTTTGATGAGTTTTAAATGGAAATATGTACTCATGATGTTTTCTTTTTTGTGTGTGTCCCTAGTTTGCTGGATATCTGTTGAACAACCTGTTGGACACCGCGATTTGCCATACGAGAACCAGCAGACTGAAAAACCAACTGTGACCACAGCTGCAAGCGGGATCACAACTCTTGATCTGCCAAATGCAATAACTTCACAAGGTATGAGACAGAGAGCAGGCAGGAGCATTGGACATTTTAGTCCTGGGGACAGAGCACCAACAGTTAAAATGGTTTGTCAGGTAGGGAAACAATGCACGGTTTTATTAGATTCTTGCCAAATTCACTCATGTTCAAATCCCTGTGAATACGAACAATATGAAAAGTTTTTATGTATAACTACCAATGCATGCTACATTGCAAGAGGGGTATGGGGCAGTTCAGGAATCTCTCGTGGTTGTAATTGTGAATCTTGGGCTTATACAATTGCTAATACCGGAACTGATTGGGGCTACCATTCTCAAAGTGACCTAAAACATAGGCTATCTATCATTAAGGCTAAAGAAGCACCTGGAGATATATGTGACCCTGTAATCATTA